AATAAAAGACAATGTATCTGTCATTTTGTGTATTTTTACAAGCTAGAGTTTAAATACTTTAGCTAAACAGACTAAACACTGACAATAGAGGCCTCGGTGCCCTGAAATCATGTTTTTTTCCTTTTATGTCCTGTCGATGCAACAGCATTTTCCTAGGCATCTTCTGAAGCTGTTAAAAGATTTGTCATGCAACTCAAACCTGAATTTATATATATAATTCCTTATGTTACACATCTTCCACCATTTACAATGACTAGTGGAAATGGGACCTGCCCTATGGAGCAGAATCATGCTCCAGAGAGAGTCTTGGTATTTCTTTAACTTTAGGAAAGAACTATTTCCAAACTTCCACTGTGCGGCTTGTTCGGGTGTTAAGAGTTCTTCCTTTTGCCACTAGCAAGTCTCTTCACCAAGAAAGCATTACACCAATTTGAGTGCGGTTCTTTTTGCTGGTTGCTCCTGTATCTGCTTCTCCAAAAGTACTCGCTCTTAATTACTACATAAGCTGTCACCCTACGTTACCTGGTAAAGCTGTCCAAAAACAAGCGTAACATCAGACATCTTCTGTAAGAAAGATGCAAAGAATACAGCATTGAGCAAACACATGCAAAAGAATCTCTTAATGAAAAAGCTGTGCAGGGCAAGTTCAAGGCATCTGAAGAATTGACAGCATGAAGGCTGTTCCTTTCTGCTTTGCATAATCACATGGGTCATGAGTAGCTTGCTTTCTTTCTGCTGAGTCTAGGAACCAGTGCCTATGATATGCAGTGTATGCTGTCAAGGACATGACAGGGCAGTAAAGTGGAAAAGGATACAGAACCGTGCTTTGGCATCGAGCAGTAAAAGCGTTGAATTTATTTATGCAAGAGGAATGATGACATGTGGAGCTACTGCAGAACGGAGGAATAAAGGAAAGCTCATTTAGTATCGCTGCCCACTGCACTCCCACTCCTCCAAGCCTTAAAATCTTGCAGTAGCTGATGAAAGCAGGGCCAGTTCTTTGCTGCTACCTGCCACTTGGAGCCTTCAGTAACTGCTTGTTTGGACCAGTTGCTGTTGAAGCACTCCATACAGTTCAGATCAGATCAGCTAGGCCTGTTCTACAACTTATCAAACAGAAGCAGCTGCTGCTTTGACTGTAGTTAGTGGGGGTGACAACTCCCAAGAGGTTGTTTCGCTTTAGGCTATTACTGATAGTAATTGCATAAGGGTCACCGTACTCACGGCAAGTAATCCCCAAAGCAATGCTTGTGAGGACATCTGTATAAATAGGAAGCACTTTACTGCTCATATTGCTATGAATTGCCATATGACTTCATACTGACATGGCACAGAGCTTAAGTAAGTAAGTTCTCAAACTCATTACCAAGGTGCACAGACTCATCACAGTCAGTCTGTCACACTGCATCCATCGGGAACAGACTACAGCCATTAGAATGGGAAAGGCAAACAGGAAAACACAGTGAAGAACATCCTTAGAGGGAAACGTGCTCAGAAATAAAGACATCCCAGATCGCAGTTGCAGCTGCAAGCTGAGCCAGACTATGGGTAGACGGCTGCAGAGGCGGCCTCAACTGTGTTCCTCCTCAAGCTGGAGACTTGCCACTGCTCATTACTGTAACTACAGGTGAGTGCAAGGCACACGCAGCTACAATAGAAAACTGCCCAGCTGCAGTTGTACTTTTCAAGTTGAACAGGGCAAGGATGGAACTTACTGTGAAGTCTTGGAGCAAGCTGGTAAAGCAAGGGATGTTTCCTTTTACTGTGATACAGGGGAAGATGCTTCAGGTAGAAGCATGAAATAAAATGGTACCCCATTCTGGGGGTGGTAGGTCTACTTGTTCCCAGAATGCCTCATGCTGCTATAATAGTGAATGGAGCAAGAACAAATAAAATTACTTGGCAATAAATTGGTGCTGAGGCATTAAGCCTTAGTTACTGCAGCAAGTTCAAGGGGTGTGTTAAAATAAAGCAGGAATCTACAGCAAGATGAGTTAAGCCTACAGAATTAACACTCGCTGCCCCTCTAAATGGACATTTGTTGGTACAATGTTTGCCTACCCTGCCATACACTAGCTTCCATTTAGAGATGCAGGACCACCTGGCACTGAAGCTGTTACACAGCATGGCCTCAGACTGGTTCCCTCTAATAGAGTGGTCTCAAGGAAGCTGCGTACAGGTGTATGTAAGTTTGTTATAGCCAAGATAAATCAGTCTTTCCAAATAGAAGCTACCTCAAGAGTTCTGCAAGAGGCTTTGTGTGCTGTTATGCTCAATTCCAAAATTAACTGCTTTGTTAGCATTCTCAGAAATGTTTTCCTTTAAGTTTACCCAACTCCTTGGCTACAGGGTAGACTAGTGGGTTGTAGGTTTTACTAGCTTATGAATCTGCTCAGATGGTGATGCTGTAGTCCCAGAGTCAGCTTGTAACGCTTTTGCTGAAGTGTGGTGCCCCTACAGGGGCCATCACTACTGACAGCACCAATAGGCCTTGGAGAGCATCATCTGGGAGTAGCCATGCTGGTTCTGCCATTGCAACTGACCACTAGAAGTACAATTCCTAGTTGCAAACCCAGTCCCAGAGGGGTGTGGGAGTTTGATCCTTCCCCAGTGGCAGACAGCTGAACCATAACTAGATGAAACTCTCCAAGTGTAAGCCACTAAGTGCACAGCTCTTTGTGCACCACCTGCAGGTACAAGAAGCAGCCAGGCAGATGCACTATCATACTTTGAGCCTTTGAAGTATCACTTCTCGATAACCTTGTGGAAGTAACGATGGGCAACTCATTTACCAAGAGACCATAACATCAGTGACTCCCTTTCCCAGCAGTTTGTGAGAGCTATCCCTGAAGAGGCATTAACCACAAGCTTTCTTTGGCTTTAGTCTACAAGACAAGAACACCGGCCTAGCTAAGCGCAGACCAGCTGTACCAGTAGAAGTGACCTAGTTTTTACATAGCATTTCTCAATCACTTTCTAATGATGAACAGGTGCAGGAGACTTTCTACATGGAATCAAAAAGTGCACAGTTAGCAAATACTATTAGGTGTTTTGTTCATGAATTATGCTCTATGTCAATTTGATGTTAACTTCGTTTGATTAGTTCAAGGGTAGGAGCAGTAACAGACATCCTTTCCCACCTGATACTCTACAAGGTCCTAAGTCAGTTGCTGCCAAGACCATCACCGATTTACAAAACATTATTTGTAGGCTCTTCCCCTATGCAAGTTACAGAAGTTGCAACATGCACCCTCTGAGCTGGGCAAAAACCCACCTGATCATTTGAGTGTGCTTTGCAATACTTTTATTTGCATGCTTTCCTAGCTACACCTCACTAAGTACCTTCAAACAATAACAAAAAAAAATCTGCTCTACTTGCAGTTTTCTAGAAGAGCCCTAAACAAAAACGAAAAAACCCCATCCCACTCAGATGATGTATTTGAAACTAAATGTGCTATCGCAGGAGAGGCGTTTCCCTTTGCATCTCCCACAGAGGTCCTGGCGGTGGGGCCTCTTGGGATCCACGTGGCGCATCTTCACGGGGCAGGTGCACCTCGTCTGCTTGCAGCTCTGGGGGAGAAGGCTGCAGTCGGCGGGGGCGGGCCGGGGCCGGCCCGGCCCGGCCCGGCCCGGGGGTCCCTTACAGGTGATGTCCTCCACGCGGTACGGGTTGTAGGACTTCTGGCAGGTCCGGCAGAACTGCCTGAAGTAGACCTGGGGGGGAGGCC